GCGTTCGTAAACTAATAAAAAAAAAGTGTCGCAACCTCAGTGCTCCTGACTGTACATGAATATCTGTTTAATTTTTTAGTAGACGCTATTGACGTAACAATTTGTGATGATACAAATAAGAATGAGACTGATACTTCCAATCTGGACCATATCTGTCAGAAAGATGTTTGCGTACCTACATCGAATAACGATGAGACTGATATTTTCAGTACAGAAAGTCATTGTTAAAGTGATGTTCATGTACCTATATCTTGTGGTGAGTATAAAATATTTGGTATTTACTTTTGTACACGCTATGCGTTACGATTCTTTTTTACTGCGCTTGCGCGCCGCCTGGCACCGCTGTATGCTCGGGCCTGATCCCTTCCTTCGCTAGCGCGTTCGGTAGTAATAGTTGTAGTCTGTCTGTTACCTTGCTGATGCAATCGTTAGGCGATACAGAGAAATACAAGTTTCTAGAAAAAACATATTGGTCTTGCATATATTCAATCCATCACAAGATCCATCACAAGACCTGCACCGTTGCAACATTATTTCGGCACAAGCCAGGAAAAGAAAACCCGCGTCCACTTACGCGACGGCACGAGGTTCATACATAGAGCCCCAGTCATAGTTGGTCCTTCGAGCCGGATATACAACCGGATAGCAAGTTATCACGATTATCTAAATTATCATAAGCATTCATCATCTGAGGCCACTCTCAGAGATACAAAGATTGCTCACTCAGTAAAGGCATACGCAAGTTTAAGGTTATGTTGTAAGACCATTTTATTACGATACTTATTTCACAAAGGTAAGTTCACTATTTCACATTAATTCTATTCATTAATTATGGATACATTGACGCTAACAGAAGTTAAGAATAAACGAACTGCCATAAAGGCCTCTGCAACACGATTGAAAACTTACATTGAAAATTTCGACGTACAACAAGGTTCGCGACACGACTTGACCGAACGCAAAACTAGATTATCCGAATTATGGAGTCAATTTGACGTCGTGCAATCGCGAATAGAAATCTTCGAAAACGCTGACCCAACAGTCATAGACAAAGAAGCACTTCAAGCTCAGCAAGCACAACAAAGAGCGAGTTTTGAAACTCCCTATTATAACCTAATGACGCGTTATAATTCTCTTCTCGATCATTATGATCGGCAATTACAGCGTGTCTCACCGGCACTGGTACCGGCACGTCAAGATGAAACTCCTATTAGCGTCAACAGGGAATCGCGTGTTAGGTTGCCAAAAATAGTACTTCCAGTTTTTACAGGTGCCTATGACGATTGGTATTCATTCGAAGATACCTTCGACAAATTGATACATACCAATGAGGATTTATCGGAAATTGAAAAGTTCCACTACCTGCGGTCGTCACTCCAGGGCAAGGCTGCAGAGATAATAAAGTCCATTGATACCACTACCGACAATTACAACGAGGCTTGGGAAGCTGTTAAGGAGCGATTTGACAATAAGCGCTGGATAATCCAGAAACACCTCCGAGCCATCTTTGAAGCTCCGCTGCTGATTAAAGAGAATCATAACAACCTTCGTGAGCTACTCGATACTGTTTTAAAACATTTGCGTGCGCTTAAAGCTATAAAAAGACCCACCAAAACATGGGACGACTTAATTATTCATATTATCGTTTCTAAACTTGATCCCGACAGCTAAAGCATGGGAAACTAGTATTCCTGACAAGGAAATCCCAAATCTAAAGTCATTGACGGAATTTCTCTCTAAACGTTGCCAAGCGCTTGAAACAATTTATAGCAAGACACCAGTTGCTCAATCTAGTAATACATCAAAATTTCCTATCAAATCTAAGGGATCTTCGGTCACGAATCTTGCCACATCTAATTTGGCTTGCCCACAATGTAAGGCAAATCATCCATTATACTACTGTGAAGATTTTCTTAAACTTCCAATAGATAAGAGAATTCAGCTAGTAAAGAAATTTCGCTTATGTACTAATTGCTTAAGATCCACATCGCATCAAGCTAAGACTTGCACTTCAGGCGCTTGTCGCACATGTACTAGAAAACACAATACATTGTTACATCTATCTAATTCCGTCAATGATAACAAAACGATCACTTCAACTGAACCTGTATCTTCTGAAGTAGAGACTACTGCGCAACCGATCGTTACTCAATATTTGTCGACCCAACATTCCTTAAGTATTATACTATCTACGGCCGTCGTACATGTTTACGACTCCAAAAATGAGACTCACTCAGCTCGCGTTTTATTAGACAATGGGTCTCAAATAAATTTCATATCACGAGACTTAGCTAATAAGTTACGACTCAAGGAAGCCTCTATCAATATCTCCATTTCCGGCGTAGATCAGGCAGCGATTCAAACCAAAAGCATGATTAACGTACGTGTTAAATCACGATTCAATAACTTTTGCGAAAACATAGAATGTATAATCTTACCAAGAATCACGCAACCATTGCCTCAAAGATTTATATCGAAACCAGAAATTGTAGTACCCGATCATATAAAGCTCGCTGACCCCAATTTCAATGTACCAGCAGATATTGATATGCTGATCGGTGCGGAGCTATTTTGGAGGCTCCTTTGTGCAGGACAAATTCGAACATCTAGATCCCAACCAATTTTACAAAAAACTCATTTAGGCTGGATTATATCTGATCCGACACTATGTAAAGACACAAGTACAAGCTCTCCAGTCGTTAGTTGTCTGGCAGTGACAGAAGATCTAAATCGCACACTTAATCGATTTTGGGAAGTCGATCACGTTATGTCTCTTCCTGAAACCTCTCCTGAGGAACAAGCCTGTGAACGGTTCGTTCAGGACACGGTGAAGCGCAACAGCGACGGACGCTTCGTAGTACAGCTACCAATCAAATCAGACAAATTAATGAGTCTTGGAGAATCTAGGGATATAGCTACACGTCGTTTCAAATCCTTGGAAAGGCGACTTATAAACTCACCAAAGATGTATACGGATTACAAGCATTTCATTCAAGATTACATCGATCTCGGGCACATGCGAGAGGTAACACATCCTTTGGAATCCGTCGATAAAACTTACTATCTCCCACACCATGCGGTATATAAGGAGACAAGTACTACAACCAAATTGAGAGTCGTTTTCGACGGCTCCTGCAAAAGTTCATCTGGAGTTTCTTTAAATGAAGTACTAATGGTTGGCCCTACCATCCAGGATGATCTTTTTTCGATATTGGCCAGATTCCGTACATTCAAGTATGCCTTGACTGCTGACATTGCCAAGATGTACAGACAGGTTTTGATTGATCCCAGTCAAACTGCTCTTCAACGCATTTTGTGGCGTAATTCTATAGATGAACCAATTCGAACATTTGAACTGATGACTGTCATATATGGCACTGCGTCTGCGGCATTTTTATCCTTTCGTGCCCTCAGGAAGTTAGCTGAGGACAATATCTTCAAGTTTCCCATCGGAGCCAAAACTGTACTAAGTGACTTCTACGTCGATGATTTGGTTACTGGTGCCGACTCATTGCAACAAGCATTAACTATCAAGACCGAGACCTCTCAGCTGCTCACAGAAGGCCGATTTGAGCTACGCAAATGGGTTTCCAATGAGCCAAGTCTTCAAGACGATTCATCGTTATATCCTCTAAGGGAATTCATTCTATCATCTGACAAAGACAGCGAGACGCGAACGTTGGGCCTTGTATGGCAATATGCATCCGATCACTTCAAGTTTTCTAGCATCGCTTGTCTACAATCGTTATCAACTCCCACTAAGAGAAGCGTTCTTTCAAGAATTGCATTGATTTTCGATCCGCTTGGGCTGCTTGGTCCTTCGACAGTCATCGCTAAAATCATAATGCAAGACCTTTGGCGCCTCAGGATCGACTGGGACGAATCCCTACCCTTGGATGTGAACACCAAATGGAAACGCTACGAAGCTGAGCTACCAGCTTTAAGGGGCATAGCCATACCACGACGCGTTATTGCATTAGATGAATATGTCAGCTTGGAACTCCATGGTTTTGCGGATGCTAGTGAGCTAGCTTATGGCGCGTGTATCTATTTACGCGCTACGTCAAACGGAACGCATTCTACTCGTTTACTCTGTTAAAAAAATCGTGTAACCCCTTTGAAAAGTTTATCTATACCACGTCTTGAGCTGTGCGCGGCTTTACTATTGGCACGACTCGCCAACAAAATTCTAAAAGGTCTGACCCACCAGATAAAGTCCGTATATTTGTGGACCGACTCCACCATAGTATTGGCGTGGCTTCAATCAGTTAGTCGCACCTGGACTCCGTTCGTTGCCAACCGTGTTGGTGAAATCCAACAGTTGACCACTATACAAGACTGGCATCATATAAGCAGCCAAGATAATCCAGCCGATCTACTTTCTAGAGGAGTTATGCCTTCTTTGCTCCAACAGTCTAATCTTTGGTGGTCAGGACCTAAATGGCTGAATCTCAACCTGGAAGATTGGCCGCGATTACATCATACTATAGCTAAGAAGGATATTCCAGAATTCAAATCCAACGTTATCTCCGCTATCGTCACAGAAGAACCATTCCTCGACGTTGTGAAACGATATGACAATCTAATGAAGCTACTTCGAGTCGTGGCTTATATATTTAGATTCTACAATAAGTTGAAGCAGAAAGCTAAACGCTCCTAGAATTTACAATCGACTCACGGTATAACACCGCCTATTTCAGCCAATGAAATAGAACATGCCATATCAGTCATGATAAAACTAATTCAGAGATCACATTTTCAGAAAGAATTGGACTCTCTCTCTCAAAACAACAGGAAGTTGGTCGAAACAGTTCGGTACTGCGTTTAAATCCTTTCCTTGATGAAGCAGGAATCTTAAGAGTCGGTGGCCGCCTCAAGCTATCGCACCTTCCGTACAATGCCAAACATCCGGCCTTGTTACCAGGCCGTCATCCTCTTTCGCATCTCATTATTAGACACGAACATGAAAGGCATCTGCACGCGGGCCCCCAAGCCACGTTGGCTGCTGTTCGCCAAAACTATTGGCTCGTTTCCGCCAGGGATGTTGTGCGTCAGATCACACGTAAATGTGTCACTTGTTTCCGAAGCTCACCAAAAACTGCATCTGCGCTTATGGGCAATCTTCCTAAACATAGGATCACAGTCCCTGCAAGGCCTTTCGAAAAATGTGGAGTAGACTACGCTGGTCCTTTTCACTACAAAGAGGGATCAAGAAGATCGGCTAAGTTGCTAAAATGCTATATGGCAATCTTCGTTTGCTTTTCGACCACAGCTGTTCACATCGAACTAGCAACGGACTTATCTACTGAAGCCTTTTTGAACGTTCTAAAACGCTTTATTTCAAGAAGAGGCTATCCATCTGATATTTACTCCGATAACGGCCTAAATTTTGTAGGTGCCGAACGTGAATTGAAGGAATTAGCTACCTTGTTCAATAATCAAGAAGAACAACAAAGGATCATCAATTATATGGCCATCAGACAGATTCGTTGGCATTTTATACCGCCTAGAGCGCCTCATCATGGCGGGCTTTGGGAAGCCGCCGTTAAGAGAGCCAAACGCCATCTCTATCGGGTAACCAAGGATATCAAACTGAGATACGAAGAATTGGAGACTCTGCTCATTCAAATCGAGGCAGTTTTGAACTCTCGCCCTCTTAGGCCGATGTCGTCGCATCCTGATGACCTCACACCTTTGACTCCGGGACATTTCTTAATAGGCGGTCCATTAGCCGCGTATCCGGAACCATCACTAGAAGATGTACCTAGCAATCGTCTCTCACACTGTCAATGTGTTGAGCAATTCCGCCAGCACATTTGGCAACGTTGGCTGAAAGAATATCTTCATCACTGCCAGCAACGCGATAAATGGAAAATTAAAACAAACCCAATCCGTGTCGGACAGATGGTTCTCCTAAAGGAGGACAATACTCCACCATTATCTTGGCCATTAGCTAGGATAGTAGAAATACACCCCGATAGTGACAATATTGTTCGTACCGTTACGATTCGTACAACTAAAGGACTCTATAAGCGTCCTATAACGCGCCTATGCCTTTTTCCATTTGAAGATGATTAGAATAGTTTTATTGCGTTTCATTTTAAGTTTTTGCGTCTCATTTTAAGTTTTGTACTGCGCACGCACGCCTTTGCCAACATTTAAAATTTATTTTTTTTATCATTACATTGAAAGCCGATGCTTTCAAGGGCGGCGGTATGTACACGCTATGCGTTACGATTCTTTTTTACTGCGCTTGCGCGCCGCCTGGCACCGCTGTATGCTCGGGCCTGATCCCTTCCTTCGCTAGCGCGCTCGGTAGTAGTAGTTGTAGTCTCTGTCTGTTACCTTGCTGATGCAATCGTTAGGCGATACAGAGAAATACAAGTTTCTAGAAAAAACATATTGGTCTTGCATATATTCAATCCATCACAAGATCCATTACAAGACCTGCACCGTTGCAACATTATTTCGGCACAAGCCAGGAAAAGAAAACCCGCGTCCACTTACGCGACGGCACAAGCCACGAGGTTCATACATTGAGCCCCAGTCAACTTTTAAAGGTGGAAATTATTACAAAAAGTTCATGAATATCTGTTAAATTTTTTAGTAGATGCTATTGGCGTAACAATTTGTGATGATACAAATAACAATGAAACCAATACTTCCCATCTGGATCATATCTGTCAGAAAGATGTTCGCGTACCTGCATCGAATAACGATGAGACTGATATTTTCAGTACAGAAAGTAATTGTCAAAGTGATGTTCATGTACCTATACCTTGTGGTAAGTATAAAATATTTGGTATTTACTTTTAAAGGTGGAAATTATTACAAAAAGTTCATGAATATCTGTTAAATTTTTTAGTAGATGCTATTGGCGTAACAATTTGTGATGATACAAATAACAATGAGACCGATACTTCCAATCTGGATCATATCTATCAGAAAGATGTTCACGTACCTGCATTGAATAACGAGGAGACTGATATTTTCAGTACAGAAAGTAATTGTCAAAGTGATGTTCATGTATGTACCTATACCTATACCTTGTGGTGAGTATAAAATATTTGGTATTTACTTTTAAGGTAGAATTATTACAAAAAGTTCATGAATATCTGTTTAATTTTTTAGTAGATGCTATTGGCGTAACAATTTGTGATGATACAAATAACAATGAGACCGATACTTCCAATCTGGATCATATCTGTCAGAAAGATGTTCGCGTACCTGCATTGAATAACGAGGAGACTGGTATTTTCAGTACAGAAAGTAATTGTCAAAGTGATGTTCATGTACCTATACCTTGTGGTGAGTATAAATTATTTTTAAATATTCCTAGAAAACTAATAAAATAGTAGTTATGACAATACAATTTACCTACGTTTTGTGTACATTATTAACTTATTTTTAAATTCTTTAATTCCCTAATTAAAGATTTTTATAAATTTGATATAGTACTCTATATATTTTGATGTACGTTAGATACGTATGCACTACAATTATTTTTTGTTTAAGAATGTGAAAACAGTGATCAAATTTGTATACCACATAAACAAGACTGTCAAAAAAATTATGAAATTCCAATGTCATATGGTGAGTACGTTGATATAATATAATATATTTTGTTAAATATAATCTATTGTAAATAAAGAAATTTTTGTGCTTGTTTTAGTATTTGATGTCGATACAACAATAAATTTGCTAAATCTTAATTATGAAAATATTGAAGCTGAAAACGAGGATATCGAAGTATTGGTTTCTTGTAAGTAATAATTATTATACTGTTGAAAATTTTTCATTTTAACATTTAATATATTATAATGTATGTATGTATCTATTTTTTTACTTATACGGACGAAGTATAATACAGCGTTCAATCTCAGTAAAAATACATAAATATATAATAAAAATATATAAAGTATCTAGTAGAAAATATATTTCACTCATTACAATAACACATTTTTTCTTTCATTTTTGTGTAATCAATAAAACATTTTTTTTATTTAGTTTGATACAAAACCTTTTTCTTATATTTATAGCTGCAAATAACGAGTCCAATAACATGGAGTCGTGTGCTAAGAAATTGAGATTTAGCACTACTGGTATGTATGTATGGATCTCTGAAAAGTAAGGATGTGAGCAAAATGGCTGTCTTGTACTCTTAAGACAATGTTTTATATCTGTACTTTTAATGTTTAAGTCTTTGCTGAAAGTAACACACGAGAACTGTTTTGTCTTAAGACAAGACAGCCTCTGCTTAGGCCTTGAAGTAGTGTACAAGACAGTAATTGTACATTACTTGAAACAAAAGACTTGAAACATAAAATTATCTTAAAAGTAATATAGGCCCGGTTGTTAAGCAACTAACGTTGCTTAACTTTAACCTTAGCTTAACTCATTCTTTATCTTTTCTGAGGAAAGCCGTTAGAAAGAAACAAAGAGTGAATTAAGCTAAAGTTAAGTTATGTGACATTGGTGCAACCAAGCCCAATACAGCCGTTTTGCTAAAGTTCTAAGAATAAATGAATTGAAAACATAGAACAAAGTTTAAAAGTAAAATATTGTAAAAATGTAATAATATAATACATATTATTATACTATAATTTTATAACATTAAGTCCATTAAAAATTAGACATTTATTTTATTACACCAGTTGTCTTGTTTCCGCAAAAAATACTTTAAATAATTTTCGAGTAATATTCGAGTAATACAATAGTAATAAAATGTTTCAAATTATTTCACTTTTCTTGGCATGTGGTTTTATGCATTTTTTGTAATTAAATTTTATGTTTTTACATTGCCCTGTAAATTACATTTTTTAAAAAACAATACTTATGTTTAGAAGAACTATTGGAAGGTGTGGAAGACATAAGTATATTACCTTTGGGTCAACAAGATGCAACTAATAAAGAAACTGTCGAAGTTCTAGCATCTTATGGTACGTACGATATTAATTATCTTTTATAATCACATACGCACACATGTACGCACGTACACACAACACGCACGCACATGTCACATATGCAACACACACATTTTTCCATATTCTGTTAAAATACAAATTGACTGTGTGATAATCTATTCTATTATAACATAAGAAGAATATAATAAACATATAAGAAAGTATAAATATATAAAACTAAACATAGCTTTTATAATATTGATTTTGCTGCATGTGTATGTACAGTAACTAAGTTGAGTAAATAAGTTTGAGATAATATTGAATAATTACGTACTAACAATATTTCTATGTTTTCATAATAATTAAAATGTACTTATTTAAATATGTTTAAAAAATTACATACTGTTATCTTCTATGCACTTTTCTTTTTCTGTACATATAACTGATTATAATTGACCGAGCAATAATACACACTACAAAAACATATTAATAACACATCAATTTTTTTAAATATCAGAATTATTCATTATTTTACATGTTTAACTTTAGATAACGAGAAAGAAAGTAGCGACGAAGGATCAGAATATGTACCTTCAGAACAAAGTTCTTCACATGACAGCTTATCTCCACAAAAAAATGTTTCAAAGAAAACAAACTCAACATTATCCGATTCTAGTTTCAATGTATCAAACATTAATATTGTTGGTACATCTTCATGCAATGATGAATTAATGTATGTTGAAAACTCGAAACTTAAATCCACCAAACGAAACTGTTGCATTTTTTGCATGAAATTGCAGTCGCAACTCGCGCGACATTTGGAAATGATACATGGTAATGAGCCTCAAGTAAAAGAGTTTTGCCCAAAAAAAACCATGAAAGAAAAGAAATGATAAATATTTTAAGAAAGATGGGTAATTTTAAATTTAATACGAATTCTGATCATAATACTGGGCAACTTATAGTATCCAGACGTCCAAATGAGAAAATTAAGAAAACTGCTACTGACTTTATTGCGTGTGTCAAATGTAAAGGTTTCTTCGCCAAAAGTACAATACGTCATCATGCCCGAGGATGTCTTAAAAGTAATTTTAAGAAGAATGAAAATATTATGATTTTGGGCAGGAAAATTACTGGCAGAATACATAAACTTGCAAATGAGATGAATCTACGATATATGGTGTTTCTAGTAATGCGAGATGATATAATAACACGTATTGTGAGATATGACGAATTGTTGATCATATTTGCTAATAAGCTATGTATCAAATATAAATCCGAACATCAGCATGACATGATAAGGGCACGCTTGCGCCTTCTTGGGCGTTTCCTTTTGGCATTAAGAGGATGCTAAAGCTACGCCCGAACTCCAACGGGATAGCGCCCTCATCTAAATGGAATTAAAAATGTCGATAATGTCGGTAACCGACATTTATAATTCCATTTCCTACATTACCGATAATCTTAGGACACATGTATTGGAAATACATGTATACGTAGCACACATCGTTACGTCCAAATCCAAACAGATCTGAACGTAACATGCATTGGCAGCATACATATATATATCACGAGACACGTTGCCTCGCGCCAAGTATAAGCGTAGCTAGACTGCGCGCGCGAGATATATGTATATACACATCAAGAGACACCGTAGTGTCTCGCGCCAAGTTTCAGCACAGCAATATCCTTTTCGAGGATATCAATGCATGACATATTCAGGGCGTATCCTAATTCCCGGATGTCCCGTAGATAGACCGGGGCAAACTAAATAGAAAAGTCCTATAACATTTTGCAAAATTCGTAATAGTTATCGAGAAATTAATTTTATGTCTGAGCGACTGAGAGCGTCACGAT